CGCAGTTGGTGCTGGCACGAAACAGGTCCCTCACTGTGGAGGGGACCAGGGCCCCATTTTCTTTACAATATATGCATAAGATTTAATAATTCAATAATTTTAGTGTGGTTGTTGGCTACTTAACTCTGTCAAACAACCGCTCCACCCCTCCCTGTCGCTGTTGGTGCTGGCACGAAAAAGGTCCCTCATTGCTCAATGACCCAGGGTGTCGAGCAGCTTTCCAACGGCAATTGTTAGTGTTCCCATGAGTGAAAAATTGGAGCAAGGATCTTAAGGCAGCATTTAAACACCTTTGGTTTTCGTTTCTTACATGACCACATTTAACGATAGATGCCTGTCTCCAGTTGGTAATAACCCCCCCCCCCCCCCCTGTGCATTCTCCATTCGCAATACACATAACAACCAAACTGCATTAACCGAAATACAAATAAATATATAGAAAGAAAATATATCAAGTACTATACCTCAACTCCTTGTATTTTTCATTAAAATCAATCCACGATTATCTATAATTAATTCATGTTTGATGATTAATTTATATTGATAAATTGTTTATATATACTGACATTTCCAATTTTCGGCATAGGGATTTATATATAATAACCCTATTGTAAATTACATATGAAATAAATATAAACTACTAATCGAATAAATATGATTAAAGAATATTTATTTTATTTCTGTTTATCTTAACACATGTGGAATATCCCATGTACGAGTGAATAGGTCTCTAGTGATGACGTATTACGCATCTTATGAACGATAACTCGATATATGAACGATAACTCATGTTCGACTTCTTTTACGCCATAGCATCTAGTCATTACCTTTTTTTTACCAAGACCAAAATTTAGAGTTTTTTTATACTTGTAAATATCACTATCACTTTAATAATTTCATGTCTCATACAATTATGCCTGTTCATCATATCATTATCAATAAATATAAACTTGCAATATTATTTGAATTAAAAGGCTTAGAACATGAGCAAGCTTTTTTTAAAACAGGAAAAGTTGTGTTTCAATTTTTCAATCGATACCTGTTTGAGGGAAAATGACTTTTAGTTCTGAAAGTTGCTGCAATGACCAGTCGATGTCATTCTTCTTATCCTCTGAATGGCGAGGGTCAAATTTCGCCATCGCAGAGCCATGTGATAGAGAAGCGGATGCTGTAACATTGTCCTCACTTATCTTTTCTATTTGGGCACGAGGCTTTGACAGATTTAGATTGCTAAGTGGGGTTGGTTTATGGTTGACCGACCTCGGCATCTTCCACGTGCAAAGTGTTGAGGTACAGCTCTGGGATGACGTAAAGATGCCATTGCATATTGCAAAAAGCAACCCACCAACATGGCTGCAGGCTTGAGCTAACCTATAGTAAAATGATGATGAAAAAAACTTTTTAAATTTAATTATTCAAAAGTGTATAAAAGTTTAACAATTAATTAGAGTTGCTAAAACGGAGAAATCATAAGATCAGTGTCAGATTAAAGATCTAAATTCAAATAGTTTAGGTGGTGGGGGAATCAAGAGCCAAAGAAATTCTTGTGCAACAAAATTAATACTCAGAGATTTAATGTGGTACAGGAGACATTATTAACTGGTGTTTGAAATGTTTTAATGAATAAAAAATAGAAATAAAAGCTATTAATAGTGTTAAAATATATCAGTATTTGTTAAATAATTAAATTTCAATCAACAATTTAGTTTTGAGGAGGAGGGGAGGGGTCTTGATGAAAACTATGTAGTATTTTGTCAAACACTGAACTTTTGATCATTCTCCTAGCCTAAGTATAGTTCACTTGAAATACTTACCCAATGGGGCACTGGCAATATGCAAAGTCCACTTTATGTGTGCTGCCAATGTTTGTCATGCAAAGATAAACCTGATACCTCTGCTTTTTCATAGATGCCAAGCAAAAGGCCTTGACATAGACTGTTGTGTCATCAATCTAAAACACAATGTACATAACAGTCTAAATACAATGAAATAATTATTAATACAGTATTGGTTGTAGCTGAAGATGATACATATGTAATAATTATTGAAATTAAAAGGACAAAATCACTTAATAAATGTAAAGAATCAGTCTTACTTACGTTGGCAATACTTAGTTCTTGGATGTCCCCTGCATCAAAATGTTTCAGAGACTTATCCAGTCCTTTAAAGTTTTGAACACTCTGACCTCCCTGCCTTGTCCTTGAGATCATAAACTCATACAAAGAGGAAAAAGAAAGGGCAGGTGGTTTCACATGGCTTGATGGACCTATCAGCTGGTAAGAAACTTTGTTGAATGGTGGCAAGTTTTCTTTGAACTGCGTAAGTGTAGGATCAGAGGAAGAAAATACCTCAACAGTGGGACACAGGGCATCTGTACTTGTGCTGCTTGCAAGAATATCGCAAATCAGATCATCTTTTTTCTTCTTCTTACAATCAATACCCAGATCTAAAGCTATTGTTTTCAAAATGCCTATATTTGTTTTCTTTAAATGCTCCCGCGTCGCCATACTTTTAGACGCGCATGGTAACTAATGTAAACTTGGCAACGATAAACAGGAAGTTCGACTTAATTTTAAAAATATCAAGAAAATATTTTTTTGAAAAAAATATAACAGTTTATTTATTTAACACAAAATTATAGTTAAAATCTGAAACATGTTTTTATACATTTTCGACGCGGTTCGCTTCACGCTCGTATCCACTCGGAAGTAGTTGTGCGCATGTCTGCATATATTATTAAAGGGGTCTATTGTAGTCTTTTGATTCGGTGCAATCCCTAGATATATAGACCCTACGGAACTTCTTAGCTTATCGATCTCGCACTTCGTGCTCGTTCGATATATCGCATATATGCTTTCTCTAAGCTAGGTCTATATATCTAGGGATTGGCCTCATCAAAAGACTATAATTTTATAGTAATTATCAAGAACAATAAAATATTTGTTTATCTTAAATCCATCATTGTATTTCATCAATGTAAAGCTTTGGATAATATTAGGAAGAATTACCTAGGTAATTATTATTCTCATAGACCGAATATTATTAAATTTACAGAACTTATGTCAACTCAAAACGAAAAAATTCTGAAAAAAATATGTAAGTTTATTTTAAAATGTTATGACGCTGTCTGTCCTCCTTAATATACTACTTACTCTGTTATTGTCGGTTTCCCCCTGTTTTCGTTTTTTTTCTTTTTGTAACATATTCTGTATTGTATATATTATATTTATTTGTACCTCTGACCAGTTTGTTTGAAATGTATATATGTTTTATTGTACCCCATGTACCAATATTTTGGTTTGGGTGAATAAACTGAACTGAACTGAACTGATCAAAATGATTTTTATATATATAATATAATTATAAGTTTTAAGGAAGTAAAATTAAAACCTCTTACTTAAATTAATACATTAATATTAAGATACATGTAGATCCTGCTTTCCAATGAGAAAATAAAAAAGTCTAATTAATATAAATTTTCATCATTTACAATTTTTCAAGAACGTAACAAGCGTTATTAAAAATCAGAGGAGAGAGCTATATATGCGGACAGCGGACCGTGTCTTCAGGCGATGGAGCGGAGCGGGAATAGAGAATTGTTGACACTAAATCATAGTAAATATATGCATGTTTCTTACAATATGGCAATCAAATGCACCTTTTGGATGCCATTTTGTGTAACAGAGGTAAATTTTCACATTTAAACATGGTTAATTTATGCCTTAAATAACATATATATATTTATTAAGAGATTAAAATAATTTCAGCATTTCTTAAAAAACGCTGAAGATGAGATTATGTGATCTGTTGATTTAATGCTGCCAACAACAAAGGCTTGGAATTAATCCACGCCTACACTACATTGAAATACACAAGGGAGGATCAATCCAAAAGATTTCAATACATCACATTTTCCTTCATTTTAATTTGATTTCTTTCGATCGAATACAGCAATGAACATCTAACGTTGTAAGTAATAATATCGGAATATGATAGTTTTCAAAGATACGAAACCGAAACTTCCAAAGAGTTTTACCACTCGTGACACATTCCACTACCAATATGGCGATTGGTACGCTCTTATTGGTCAATTTAATTTTGAATACTAGTAACTAAATACCTAGTACACTGTTGGTTGTGGATAGTTTCATGCAAAGCATAACTACGATTAAACGTTTCAAAAGTGTTTAAATTATTGCCTAAGTGCTTGTATAAAATCTCCCATCGCGCTTTTTTCGGACAAAGGTGGAACCACGACTTTTCTGCGTGACCGGATTACATGTATAGATAAACATAAATAAACTATAAATAAACATACATAAACTAAACCAGAAACATGCACATGGTCAATAGTCTTACAAGTGACCATGTTCTTTGCCTTACGTAGAAATAAGAATGGGAAATATAACACTGGCGAAAAAATTAAATGAGACGAAATAAAATGTGAAACATAGAAAATATTGTTTTCTTCCCTACCTTGTGCATTTTTATCATAGCTAGTGTAAAGGGCAAGAAAATTAAATTGTGACGAGCCCGGCCTTGTGTGTCAGTTAAGTTTGACAACACAGACCCGAGATCACACATGTATCCAAAGCTAAAATGTACGATCCTCTCAGTCTATTATGCAGTTCTGAATGATCATGGTTGCATTACCTCATTGAAATTAAAGGACTATTTACCAATGCCATGAAGCATGGTCGGACAATATTTAACCTGTGACGAGCCCGGCCTTGTGTGTCAGTTAAGTTTGACAACACAGACCCGAGATCACACATGTATCCAAAGCTAAAATGTACGATCCTCTCAGTCTATTATGCAGTTCTGAATGATCATGGTTGCATTACCTCATTGAAATTAAAGGACTATTTACCAATGCCATGAAGCATGGTCGGACAATATTTAACCTTCATACATGTATCTAATTACTTGTCAAATCGCAGATTGCTTCACATTTGTTGTTTGTTAATGTGAACAATATACGGAAGCTTTTTGTGATATAAATATTTAGCTTCACTGTTAATTAATCGATAATTCAATAACTTGAAATAGATTGTTTTCAGTAGACTTAAATAAATAAGATTTCTTTCCCTTTGATCGCCATTTTCGTGGTCAACCGGATAATTTCCCTCTTTGTCCGACCAAATATAAGAGTGTAGCAGAAATATGTGGAGGTAAATTTTTATAGAATTAAAAAGATAAAATAAAGGAGGCTCTTTAATGTATTTTTGAAGAAAACATGCAATGCTCTCCAACCCACAATTGTCAGTATAAAAAGTTAGGTTGGTTAAAAAATGAATTCAGGAATATGAGCATGTTGACCCAAAATAAAGCATTTAAAAGCACATAATTAGTTTTCTGAGAGAGAACAAGAAACACATTTTTTTTCTACAATGTAATATACCCCTTCCCACCTTAACCAACCCTGCCAAGTTATCATTTGGGAACGATTATAATTAGCTGGAGGAAGCACTCGGTACATCTCGGCCGATTCGTCCCTCATCTTGACATCTAGTCTCGTTCACTCAGACGTTCGGCTGTCACCGTAATCTCCGACCTGTACATGTACTGCACGTAGCTATAAATTATATAACGAAGCAAAAGATACCACTTTTGGCATACATATATTAATATGATATATCTAGATTTTATTATACCTAATTTAATTTCTTTTAATTCAAAAGAAAAAAAAAAGAAAGAAAGCAAGACCTTTCTACGAAATAAGTGAATAATAACAAATAAAAATATTTAATGAAAAATAACTAAATTAATTTTCTTCAAGAATATAGTACAATTGATAAACATAATTTCATCAAAGTTATTTTCTTGATTTGAATTTAAAAAAAAAAAAATTTAAATGTTATAAAATCTTAAAAAAAAATTGATGATTGTCAATTGGTAACTTTAGCTTCGTGATAAAAGCAGTAAAGTACAGTAATACCAGTTTTTTCAACATTGAAATACTGTTAGCTATATATACATGTATAGATGTATACGACTGTTTGAATCTCATTTTATAGGACCGAAATCAGCTTGTCTGGTAATTTTACATATTGATAATATAGAATTGTACATGTTGTACGAGATATAAATCTTACTTTAAAAAAAAAACCAGGCGCTTGTTTTTGTTATAATTTCAAACCCATAATATACAAGTGATACATGTTCTCTTAATAAAACTATGGGTTAAAATTTTATTAGAGAAATCCAAGAACATGAAGAGCTTGATATGTATATTTAGTCATGTGAACCCGAGTCATGAAAGAAATGGAGATAACCAGAGACATATCCAGTGTAACTTTTTTATATGTCTCTGAGATAACAAACATTCATTCAATTAAAATTACGGACAGCAGTATTGTTGAAATGGTGTCATCGAAAATAGTAAAATTAGGATTTAAATTTGGATCTAATTTTATTTTGTATATTTTTTTTATATAAGGCGAAGATGTAAAATATATCAAGAAATGCAGTTATTGCAGTGTAAATTCAATCAAATGGTACAGAATACGAGATTGAATTGTCTTTCTTTAAACGAGAAGGAAAGATTGAAAAAAGTTGTAAATCATACACCTGCCTTGTTAAAAAAAACACTAATCGGATCCATTCCATTACTTTCTTTTCTAAGCATGTTTGAGGAAGTTTTTTATAATTTCTTTTTAATAATATGGAACAGTATTGTGCCAATCAACTCAACTTGGACATGATTCATGTAGTGTCTCTACCCTGAATAAATTCAATGCATTCAAAATTGATGCATGGTAGACCATCAGGAAATATGGGGGATTTAAATATATTTTCTTTGCATGCATCTTTTGCACTAGAAGTGATATCTTTTATACGAGGTGGTCAGCATCTAGTTATGTATGACTAGTTATACAAAGTTACACAAATCATATTCTTTTTTTAGGTCAATTGAAAAATTCAGCCACCTGAGGAGTAAAATATTCACCGAGTCAGAAGGGCAAAGTGAAAATTTTACTTCCATGGTGTCTAAATCATCATCATTAGTAAATGACTGCAAATTAGCAATAATAATTTTATTTTTTCATTTTAAATAACATTTCCAAGTAAAACTTTGATCGGCCAGTGTGCCCCCCCCCCTCTACCCCAGAGGATCATGCTTTTAACAAATTTGAATCTACGATACTTGAGGATGTTTCCCTATATGTTTCATCATTCCTGGCACAGTGCTTCTTTAGAAAAAGATTTTTAAAACTTAGCATCACATTTTCACTATTTCTGAATTATCTCCCCTTGAATAAAGCCGTGGTCCTTCATTTGCACAAACTGGAATCCCCTTCACCTAAGGATACTTTGTGGCAAGTTTAATTGAAATTGGCCCCGTTGTTCTTGAGATGAAAATGTGAAAAGTTTACGACGACAACAACGACAACGACGACAGACAAATTTTGATCAGAAAAGCTCACTTGAGCCTTCGGTGAGCTAATAATACAACAGACCTGCAACAAAGTGGGAAAAATCATATAATGATGTGGAATGCCCTGAGGATGATGGTATATAAACATTACTTATCCCCAGTCTTCCCAAATTAAACTTAGGTACGGTGGAATCAATTAATTCCTTGTACATTTCTGTGAACTTTTTAAAAAAACTTTAACTATATCATTTTTAAAAATATATGTAA